AGCAGCCAAGGACAGAATGCCTGCAACAAACATGACACTAACACAGAAGTAGGACAGTAGGCTACAACCTAAAACCTCAAATTACATTCCATTGGTTGGTTTTGGGTTGTGTGCTTAAAACGCTCACCATGTAGTCCAGGCTGGCCTCAAACTCAGAGACCCACCTAGCTCTGCTTCCACAGTGCTGGGATTAAAGGTGGCCAACACTACCCTGGTAGAAATTTGACATGTACAAAACCCAGGTAGGTTGCATCTTTTTAAAAAATAATATTTTTTCAATTTTTAGTTGATAAATAGAGAAATGAGCCATTTTTTTTCTAAAAGACAAAATTATAAATAAAAGAAATATCTGATCATATACAAGGTGTTTCTCCTCACTCAGAAGACACCTGAAACTCAAACCATCTTTCTCCTTAAAGCTCTGTAAGTATGAATGAAAGTAACTCAGCCTCAGAGTGAAGACTGCTTCACTCTACCATCCAGTTCGGCAGTCACCTGGTTTTCAATGGAAGCAGCAGGTGAATCAGCTGTAATACTAGATTGTACATACACCTGCAGAAGTGGGGCGCATGTTACAACACCTGATACTAATGACAGGAGCTGAAGGAGCAAATAATTATTTGATCGTGAACACTAGGTACAACAAAATACATCGTACCTAGAAGGTACAACACTGAAATGAAATGAAATTACATTTATGCTAGAATAACTCTTAAATTTCAAATAACTAGAGTCCTTTATCACCCAAGAAAATTAAAATTGCACTTTTGTTAAATGTATTACATTGAAACTGTTACCTAAATTCCATTTGATAGCTAAAATACTTATATTTACACAGTACCAGAAGAAAAAAGAAAGGGAGAGGAGGAGGGGCAGGCCAAAGAAGGGAAGGAAAGAGGAAAGAGAAAGAGATAAAAAAAGAAACCTATCATGCCCAGTGACAAAAAGATCAGGAGTTCAGGGCCAACCTGGTCTCCATAGAGTCTATCTAAAACCTAGGGCTGCTGAGACAGCAAAGCAAGTAAAGATACTTACTGCCAAGCTTGATGCCAGAGTTTCATCCCCAGGACCCACAGAGTGGAAGGAGACAACCTACCGTAGCAATTCTCTGACCTTAACATGTACACCACAGCACATATACGCACATAAGCACACACACCAAATAAATGTACTTTTAGAAAAAGTTATGCAAAAACGGAAAAAGGAAAGGAAAGGAAAGGAAAGGAAAGGAAAGGAAAGGAAAGGAAGGGAAGGGAAAAATGTAAAGGTGAAAGGAAGGGAGGGAAGGAAGGAGTAGGGAGGGAAGAAGAAGGGAAGGGAAGAGAGGGAAAGGAAGGAATGGGAAATGACATAGCACAATGTGTGAAAATGAACTCATGAAATGCTTAAGAATTCTACAAGACAAAAGTTTCAAACTGGCAAACACCTAATTACTAGGGTAATCCGCAGACCTATGCGCTGTCTCACCTCTAAGGAATCAGAATCTGGATCTTGATCAAACTCTGGGAGACTGATGCACAGCAGTGTACGAGAATTGAGAATCTTGTATATAACATCCAATACCAACGACACTGCAGTCCAATGCCATTCCAACACTTACTGTATAATGGTTACTACTGCTTGTCAATGCCACTGATCTGGGATCAACTAAGGGACATGCCTCTGGGTGGCTCCTCGAGGTTATTTCTTGAGAGAGTTAACTGAGGGAATGAAGACTGTCCTGTAGAGTTGGCAGCCCATGATATACAGAGATCTAAAGGTAAAGCAGTGGGGTCTTTCACCTGCCTGCTTTCATTCCTTGCAGGCGACTGAATCTATCTTGTTGCTGCCACTGTAGTTGCCATCTGTCTTAGTTTGGGTATTATAGCTAGAGACTATGGCCAAGGTAACTCATAAAGGCAAACATTTAATTGGAGCTGGCTTACAGTTTCAGAGGTTCAGTCCATTATCATCATGGCAGGAAGCATGGCAATATGCAGGCAGACATGGTAATCCAGAAGGAGCTGAGAGTTCTCCATCTTGATCCAAAGGCAGTCAGAAGGAGAATGACTCTTCTGGACTGGGCAGAACTTGAGCACTAGGAGCCCTCAAAGCCCACCTACATAGTGACACATTTCCTCCAACAAGGCCATGGCTATTCTAACAAGGACACACCTTCCAACAATGTCACTCTCTGTGGGCCAAGCATTCAAACACATGAGTCCATGAGGGACAAACCTATTCAAAGCACCACACCATCCCTGCTGAAAGCAGAACCCAGTTTCTTCAGCCTTCCAATGTAAACTGAAGACAAGCAGTCCTCCGCGTATACTCCAAGCCTTCCACACCAGACTAGGCCCCAGGCATGCAGCCTCTGGGACTGAGCAATAACCAGGTTAGCCACTCCAGCATGCAGATGGCCAGTACTAGATTGTCTCACCTCTATTGTGGAAGCCAACCTAATAATCCTCTTCTAATATATACTGATCCTATTTTAGAGAACCCCACTAACACACTCATCTACCTAACATAATTTCTCATCTATGAAAAGGGAGGGAAAGTCACCAATACTTCCTACTGACTGTTGTAGGAATTAAAGATGATGATACATCCAGAATACTTAGTATATTTCTGGTGCAGTTAGTAAGCGCTCAGTGAATTCACCCAGTTAACAAACACAGTATCAGGAGGTGAGGAACACAACTATGGGAGGGAGCTGCAGTGGTGTCCTGACAACACTTAATGAGGAGAATCTATACTGATCAAAGACTACTTGAAGTGAACTGAATGATAAACAGGCATTAACCAGAGCATATGAGAAGAACAACATTTCCGGGTTCTTGTGGATACTTCCAGGAAGTATAACCAATAGCCATGTGCCCGGAGGAGGAACAGAAAGACAGACAACATAGCGACAGGGAAGGAAAAGAATGCCAAAGGCACTGTAGAGATGAAGCTAGACGATCATACAGAGGGGACAGTTGTGCGGGGCCTTACAGAGACATTAAGAGTTTCAATTAGGCTGAGCATTGACCAGGAGGCAGAGGCCTTCGTAAGTTCAAGGCCAGCCTGGTCACCAAAGGGAGTTCCAGGACAGCCAAGGCCACACAAAGAAACCTTGTCTTAAAAAGGCAAAACAAAGCAAACAAAAATACAACAACAACAAAAAAAGAATTTCAGTTACTCCAAAATGAGAAGAGGCGATTGTGATCAGCTCTGTATTTTGAAAACGTCGATTCTGGCATAGAAACTACAGAATTAAGCACTCTAGATTCAAGAGGCCAATGTGGCTGGAACAAGAAGGTGATGCTGAAGATGAAGAGAATAAAGAGTCAAGAACTGTTTAAAAGGCAAAGTCAACAGGACCTCATAAGAGATGGCGAATGAGGCATAATAGGAACTTAACAAATTTCAACTATAAAATAGGATCAAAACACAGTACGAGAACCCTAATTTTTTCTTGAGAGGATCAATCACAAATTTCAACTACATCAACATGATATAATTCCAATATAGAATGAATTTGAATAGCAATGTCCTATTGTATGGAATTACAACACACATGTATTACATATGTAATCAACTCTTACAAGATGAAAAACCTTCACATGTGGGTATATCTGAACAGAATAAAGCTCCCTATCTTCAATTAGGTTCCTCCCCTTTACATAACCACAATCCCCTTCTCCTCCAATCTTTATTAAGGAGGGGGAAAAACCTTCAAAGTCGAAAAGGAATCTTTCAAGCAAACACCAGACATGCTTGGGTTTTATAATGGCTGACTGACTTAAAGCATCTTTGTTAAATTGCTTTCTCTGAGCAGAGGCACACGACTCAGAAAACTTAAATACAGCTTTTTAAAGTGTCAACACACAAACAATCCCTGGTTTTGATGTGCAAAAAAAAAAAAAAATCTCTAGCCGATAATTTACAATCAAATCACTTTAAGTCGCTGGTCTGGAGTTTCATCGATCCTGTTAAGAGAGGGAAACACTGGTGTCCTTAATCACTGATCACAGGTAATATGTGTCCAGGCGTATCCCAAGAAGTTTCTGCAAGCTTTATCTGTCTAAACCTTTCTCTACAGCTTAAACAAACAAGCGCACTGGAGCCCCCGATGGGGATTTCATTCTCTCAGACCTTATCTGCCCCACCCACCTCACACACAATAACCGTCCAGTCCAGCAAGACAGCTACCGTCAGAGAAGGGCGTCCGAAGCGCAGGGCCTTAGCTGGTGACCCCATCTACGGGAACCGAGTCTCAGAAACAAGGGGGGCTGTCTCAGCAATTCTGGAGCACTGTCCAATTTCCCAAAAGGATACCGAGAGCTCCACGGCAGAGACCCGAGTTCCTGCGCCGGCTCTGAGGACACTCCCAGCAGCAGAACGACCCAGGCAGCGAGTCTCCCGTCGCCTGAAGGCCTCGCCTGGAGTCACCAGCCTCTTAGATCCGCTCCCTCCCGCTTATCACTACCTGGGTCCGGCCTCCCGGGCCACCCACCGCCGGCCCGTCCGACCCGGCCCGTCACTGGGTAACAGTCACCAGCCGCGAGGCCCGGGGAGGCCCGTAGCCCGCAAGCTGGCCGCAGACCCAGGTCGCCCGGTGCCCGCGACAAGTCACTCACCTCGCAGCCGGCTACCTGGAGGGGCGGTGCTGGGGCCCGTCCCCCGCCGGCTCCCTCAATGCCTCCGGGCTGTGACTGCTCAGGCCGCGCTTCTGGCCGCCACCGAACGCTTACTCCATCTCCTCCGCCATCCCCGAGGCCGCAGAACCCGGGGACCGAGGAGTAAAGGGGGAAGGGAGGCAAGGGACTAGGGAGGAAGAACACGGTAGGGGGAAAAGCACCGAAAGGCCTGCCCGCTCCTGCATGACGTCACTTCCGGGCGGCTCGGAAGGGTGGGGCTTGGCTTCCCTCCGCCCTCCGGAGGCGGAATGGGGCGGAGCTCCAGGAGCGTGGGAGGAGCCCGGGCGTCTGCTGACAACTGTACCTGTGACTCTTTGATCAGTAGTCTTCGCCGGCCAGAGCTTTCCCGGGCAAGAGCGTTCCCGGCCCCAGGCTAGGAAGGCCTAGTTTCTGGAGCCATAGAAGGGGATTCTCCAAGATAATGAGGACAGGTAACCAAATGTATATTGGAGACGACTGACAGAAGCGACTAGATGGTTGGACTCCGCAGCTCTAGTTATGAGGCCCCGCCCCTTGCAGGGCTAGTGACTGAGTACACAGGACTCAGCCTTCTCTTACTTTTTGTAAAGTGACCTTAGAACCTAGAAAAGCCGTGCTTCTCACACGGGGCCGTGTTGAAGTGCAGATTCTGCTGCAGAAGTAGGATCGGATATTCTCCGTTTCTAAGACATTCTCAGATAACCCCAATGACACAGTTCCACAATTAGAACAAAAAAGACTATCTTACGTGCTTAAGAAAAGAGGTAAATTGTTCCGAAAATATACCTAGACGTCATTGGGCACAGCCTCTGTCTCCCCGCTATCCATTCAAGTAGCCCATCCATACTCCTACTACCCTTACCCTAACCCTGCCTCCCCTGTCTCTGCTCCGTCCCTGGTTCAGGTTAAAATGTCTTAAGATGGGTAATAGGATAGATTCTATTACAAGAAGAATTAGAGGAGAAGGGGAAGAAGGATTATGGTGTGTGTGTGTGCGCGTGTGCTGTGTGTAGGTATGTGCACACGAGTACAGCTGACTACAGAGGCCAGAAGTATTGGATCCCTGTGATGTTTATTCTTAATTGTCAACTTGACTACATTTGGATTTAACTAAAACCCAGAAATGGAGTGCACACCTATGAGGTATTTCTGCTTAAAATGGGAAGATATACTTCTAACCCATATCTATGAGGTAGGATGACACACTTTTAATCCGGGCCTAACCTGGACCACACCCTCTACTGGAAGCCTATATAAGGACATGGAAGAAAGAGGCTTTTACTTTTTGCCTTCTTGCTCTCTCCTTGCTAGCAAGTCCATTCCTTCACTGACATTAGAGTCTGTCTTCAAGATTCCAGCATATACTGAAGACTAGCTGAGACATTCAGCCTTGTGAACTGAGCAACTACTGGATTCTTGGATTTTTCATTCATAGCCAGCAATTGTTGGATTAGCTAGAGACCACAACCTGTACATCATTCACATAAAAAGTATATAATACATAATAATATATGTAATAATATTACATACATGTGATTATATATTATATGTAACTGATGTATATTGCAGATACATATTGTATGTATATTACATATATATGGTATATAATTATATATTATACATATAATTATACATATATACATATAAATACATATGTGAATGCATATATGTGTAATATACATAAAATTATATACATATAGTATATCATATACAATCATATACAATATTAATATATTATTATATTATTATATAATTTATATTATATATATAAAAATATAGTACTGTAAATAAATTATAATGTAATGAATATTATATAATTACATTATATAAATAACACAATTATATATATATGTGGAGGGAGAGATTGATTCAGTCTATAAGGTTATTTTTACTCTAGAGAACCCTGGCAAGCATTGATGCCCCTGGAGCTGAAGTTCCAGGTAGCTATGACCTGCCTGATGCGAGTGCTGGAAAAGCAATAAATGCTCTCAGCTGTCAAGTCATACTGATTGCATTTACTAAGTATCTTACTCAAATCTCTTGAATAAAGTTTACTATTGAGTGCAGAAGTTGGTGAGAGAGGGAGGGAAGGACAAAAATCCTGGTGAAAAAAGAGAAAGGAAATAAAGAAGGAAGGGAGGGAGAAAAAGAGGGAGGGAAGTAGGGAGGGAAGGAAAGAGGAAGGAAGGAATCATGTTGAGAAAAAGGAGAGAGAGAGAGAGAGAGAGAGGGAGAGAGAGAGAGAGAGAGAGAGAGAGAGAGAGAGAGAGAGAGGAAACCCTAGGGAAGCTACAGCTCTGCAATAGTGACTCAGATTCTTTTACTTTGTTGTGACATGTGTTCTGAAGTGATCTTCTTAAGATTACTTGACTTGTATATTACATTTTACTTCTCTGTATGTCCATGGTTGTGTAAAATTTCTCTGATGAAGAAGGGCCGTGAATGCAAACCATTTAAGTATCTCTAAATCTTTGTCTTCCTTGGAGTCTCTTCTAGTTCTTCTTTCTTCTCTACACACCTTTTTGGGTACCCTGTATGCTCTTGACTCTGTAATGATTTGATGGAATGCAGTAAAGGTTGTAACCATTAATGAAATATGACTCCATCCCACCTGACTGCCTGTGGTGGTTTGAATAAAAATGGTTCCTATAGGTTCATAGGTAGTGGGCCTATTAGGAGACACGTCCTTGTAGGAGGAGCTAAGGTAGGAGAAGTAAGGAGAGGAAGAGGAGGAGTTGGGATAGGAAGAGAAAAAAGGAAGAGGAGGAGCTAGAGAGGGCAGAGATGTAGGAGGATGGAGAACCACACAGGTATGGAGAGCACTCGTGGGGAACAACTTGTAAACTCATCATTAGGTTAGATAATTGGGATACAACTCTCTTTGTATGAGCATCTTGTTATTAATCATTATCAAACATATAAAGCCTTTGATTAATCTATAAGAATTAGAGTCTCATTCTCTTACTGGGCCCTCATGGATGGCAGAATGGCCTGGGCAATGCCCTGCCTTATGGAGACAGTGTGGAAGATTGGCAGAGCCATCACTCATGCTGGCATCTAGTGGATGGCAGGGCTGGTGTTTCTGGCAGGCTGGTTCTAGCTGCAGCACACACGTGGCCTCAGGCTGAGAAACATGGCGGCTGAGCTAGACAGAGCCGCCACAGCTTTGATAGTTGGCTTGAGCCAGAGGCCATTTTAAATAAAAACCACATGTCCTTGGTGGAATAAATAGGTGGCCTTGTTGGCACAAGTGTGTCACTTGGAGAGTGGGCTTTAAGGCAGTCTGTAACAATATACATAACTAATAACTTTCTTAAATTGTCATCGGAAGAAGACAGATTAAGCTTCCAAATAAAGGGTCAGTGTATATAATAATTCTAAGGTTAACACTGTCAGCATAATAGTAAATTTCTGCTCTGAGTCTCTAGATAACCTTGGCTATGTTGGTTTTTAAAATGAGAAAGTATACCAGTTCCTGTGAAAACAGAGTTTTAAAGGTGCTCTCCATGATAGTGTTAAATACATTACAAATGTATGTATGATATATCCTCCATGATAGCTTCGGAGCACGGGTTCTCAGCCTTCCTAATGCTGGGACCCTCTAATATAGTTCCTCATGTTGTGCTGACCCCCCCCCACCATATAATTATTTTTGTTGTTGCTTCATAACTATAATTTTGTTACTGTTATGAATCATAATGTAAGTATCTGTGTGAATAACGTGTTTATATTTTTGCCTTATGAGTTTTCAGCTTGGTCCCAAACTGAAATATATTTTCTATAATATATTTTCTATAATGTGAAACATGGCTTTGGGCATTTTCTTTATTTTCATCTATCTATCAATTTAAATTAATTATTCTCACTCTTAACTGCTGTTGAGAAATGCAATAACTTTATTATATTGGTTGAACATATGCTTTTATTTGCTAATCTTGACAGTCGAATTGTTTTCTTTCTCAGTAGTGAAGGACATCTGGAAACAACAAACAAGCACATCTTCTTCCATGGATCCACTTCCTGATCTTTGAAAATCCTTTAGAGCCTCTAGTTAAAGTGCAAACTTACTCACTAAGTGAAGATGAAGATCTTGTCATTTCTAACACTTGCATAAAAAGAGAGGTGATTCAAACTCAAGTGAGCAGTCAAAAGTATACACTGTCAAATAAGTTATAACTAAAAGCTCTCCTGTTTATTTGTTCTTGGTACCTTAAGATATAAGAACACATCTACAGTATAAGCCGAGGGCTTGTCCCATCTCTAGTTTATGAACTGACTGAATTTTCAGATAGGTGCATGCCTTTAATCCTAGCACTCAGGAGGGAAAGGTAGGCATATCTCTGAGTTTGAGGCCAGCCTGATCTACATAGCAAGACTTTTTCAACAAAGGGAAGGAAGAAGAGGAGGTAGAGGAGAAAGAGGAGGAACAGCAACAAGAAGTATAAGAAGGAGGAGAAGGACAGATGGAAAGAAAGCAGAAAGGGGCAATCTGAACTTTCATTTTCTCTAACAGAGCCAATACTGGTAATAAAGGGTGAGACCATTAGAAATCAGTGTCCCATTATGTGCTCCCATTCTCTCCCATGCCTTCCGAATTCATCATTTTCACTTAAACATCACAGTTTTTACCGAGCTATTTATTCCCTCTCTACACAATCCACTGTAGGGATAATCTCTTGTGTACTGTGTAAGAATATCACTTGTCAATAAACAGCTGAATGGCCTATAGCAAGGCAGGAGAGAATACAAGGTGAGACATCCAGCAGAGAGAGCGGAATGCTGGGAAGGAGTCAGGTGTGAGGAGGGAGGGGTCCCACCACAGAGAAATGGAGGAAGTCAGAGGTATGAAACTGAGGAGAAGTAACAAGCCACATGCAAGCATAGAATAGTATAAATGGATTAATTCAGATACAAGCTAGTTGGGAACAACCCTAGCTTAAGGCCTAGGCATTAGCCATAAATAAATGAGCCATTGTGTCATTAATCAGGAACTGGGGCAGACATAGAAAAGACCAAACAGTTACAGTCCACAGTCTAGTAAAGGAGAAAGACGTGGAAAAGAAAGTGCAGTCTGATGAAGCTGCCATAAAAATCAGCCTGTGGACAAGAGTTCCAGGGAGCCCTATAAAGTGAATATTTTCCATTATGCGCCCAATTCCAAGATGCTTGTATTTCTAGTAAAACAGTAGCTGGGAGATATGAGAACCCTGGTTTTGGTTGGTGTTCTAGCAGAGTACAAATACAATGCTTTCCCCGTGGGAACCAAATGGGGAATAAGCCTCCGAAGCTGGGGGGGGGGGGGCATAAACTTCCTATCCAGGAAGGGTGTGGTGGCTGAGGACTTGTAGGTTCCCATAGTTGGTAGATTTCTCTATTACAGAACAGGACAAGAACGCCCCAAACAAAGGGCTGAGTCTCCTCTGCCTCTGAGTCAGGAATAGCGTAGGGGTACCAAAAAGAGACAGTTTCCGGTGCCTCTGAAGTCTGATTTCATCAGCATCTAGTTGGAAAGGAAAAGTTGTCTGAAAGAGAAGGCAAACTGTCCTTAGCATCTGTCTTAGTTAAGGTTTCTATTGCTGTGAACAGACACCATGTTCACAGCAACTCTTACAAAGGACAACATTTAATTGGGGCTGGCTTACAGGTTCAGAGGCTTATTAGTCCACTGTCACTAAGGCGGGAAGCTTGGGAACCTACAGACCAGCACAGTGCTGGAGACAGTGCTAAGATTCAAAGGCAACAGAAGGAGGTTATCCTACTGGGCGTGACTTGAGCATATCTAAGACCTCAAAGTCCACCTCCACAGTGACACGCCTCCTCCATCAAGACCACGGCTCCTAATGATGCCACTCCCTTTGTGCCTGTGGGGGCCAATTCAAACGATCACAACATCCTATTCTCATCTATTGAGCCTAAGATCTAGAAGATGACAAGTCCCAACAGACCGTATAAGATATACCATTTTCATCTGTAAGGAGAGAAGGAAAGGAGAAAGGACAGATACTCAAAGAAACAAACTCATCTAAGGTTGGGGATATACTTTAGAGGTAACAGTACATGTAGGGTATGCATGAGGCCCCCAAGTATGATCCCCAGTACAGGAATATATAAATATATATTAATATATATAATATAAACACATATAATACATTTATATCTTTAAATTATATATAATTAAAGATATAAATATATGTATAATATATATTTACATATATAAATTATATATAATTTAATTATATATAATTAAAGATATAAATATAGTATAAAATATTATTAAATGTACTATATTTACATATAGTATAATATATTTAGTTACATATAATTAAATATATATTAAATGTGATCTATTAATATATAATATAAATATATCATATCTTATATTTAATATCTATTTTAGAGAAAATGTTTGAGGAAATACTCTAGTCAGAGTACAAATAAACACCTAGAAGGCTGAGACGGGGAAGGATAAGAAGAGGCAGAAAAACCAGTAGGTAATGTACTTTGTTCTTTGCTCTACTGTTTGTTTTCCCTTCTTGCCCACTGTATATGCACACATACATCCCAAGTAAATATAGTTAAGACTGTGAAAAACTTAAAGAATAATACAGATATCATATAATAACTATATGCTACCAAGTTTTAAAAGGAAGCTACCTGTGATGGTTTGTATATGCTTGGCCCAGGGAGTGGCACTTTTAGGAGGTGTGGCCTTGTTGGAGTGGGGTGGGCATAGCCTTGTTGGAGTAGATGTGTCACTGTGGGTGTGGGCTTTAAGACCCTCATCCTAGCTGCCTGGAAGCTAGTATTCTGCTAGCAGACTTCAAATGAAGATGTAGAACTCTCAGCTCCTCCTGCACCATGCTTGCCTGGATGCTGCCATGCTCCTGTCTTGATGATAATGGACTGAACCTCTCTGAACCTGTAAGCCAGCCCCAACTAAGTGTTGCCCTTATAATAGTTGCCTTGGTAATGGTGTCTGTTCATGGTAGTAAAACCCTAACTAAGACACTACTCTTAAGAAAAATGATAAATACCAACCTGTGTCAACCATAGGAGGGTATCTCCAGGCTGGAAGGGCAACAGATGTAGAGGAGGGGATTAAAGACTACTGACAGATACTTATCTGGTCAGGGAAATACCATGATCACAAAGATGGTTTTCCCAGGGTAAGATTTATCCACTGCACTCCAGATGTTCTGATCCCTGCAATTTCCCCAAATGTGGGAAACTCAACTGCAGAATTTGTGGTAAATAAAAGGAAAAAAAGAACTCTGACAGAGTCCTTGAGTTACAGAAGATCCGGGCATGGCTGGATCCTGAGATCTCATGTTGCTGTGGTAGGTAGGCAAAGAGAAAACAGTGTGTATTAGGTTAAGCATTAGGTCTGGGTTGAAGGAGAGTTTGCTATAGGTTGAGCATCTGTGACCTAAAGATCTGAAACATTTTAAAACTTCAAATTTAGAGACAGTCATGATGCCCGAAATCTGTGTCAATATTCCCAAATTTGAAAAACTTCAAAAATCTAAAACACCTCGGGTTCCAAGAATGACAAACAAAGGGGAGTGAACACATCTCTTCTTCTCAGATACTAACAGAATTACATCCATGTCTCGGAAAAAAATGGAGAACCACCGGTGAGATGGAAGAGAAAACATTAAACACAAGAAATAATTAATAAAACACAGTGGGCATGCAGATGTACGCTGGTTATTTGATGGGGAAAAAAAGCCATTTTTTTTATTCACTCCATCATTAGTAAAATATCCCAGAGCAGTGATCCTCAACCTCCTAACCCTGCGACCCTTTCATGCAGTTCTTCATCTTGTAGGGACCCCCAACCATAAAATTATTTTTATCGCTACTTCATAACCATAATTTTGCTACTTTTATGAATTGTACTGTAAATATATGTGTTTTCCATAACCCCTGTGAAAGGGCCAGTGGACAACCCCAGGAGTCATGACCCACAGGTTCAAAACCACTGACTATAGCTACACCTAAATTGCTGTTGCATCACTGGAGAAAGATTATGGCAGCTACTGAATTTTATGACTATTACATCAGAACCCGACACTTAAAAGTTGCAAAGACAGGTCAAAAGCTTTGAAATAGCAGTTTTATAATCTTTCACCAGATTTTTTTCCTTTAAAAACCGCTGTTGCTAGTATTAATCTTTCCTTTTATGGTGTGGTACCGGAACAGTGGTCCTGAAAACTCTTGCCAATGCTGTCTTGCAAACCAAATCGCTATTAAAAGCGCAGGCTGAACAACTGCTCCAGCTTCTGCTGGAGTACCGCTCCGAGCTTTTCAGCCTGTCTCTCATTATTTTATCTGGGCACATTGACTTCTAAACTATTTATGTTGAGCAAAAAGGCCGATCATTTACTTAATTTAAATAAGTACCTATAATGTGCAAAGCTTTAAGGAACAGTGTCTCCTCATGCCCAGTCAAGAGATGGAAACACACTTGAAGCAACGTTGGTATTTATATTGATTAATGTTGTCAATCAGTTTCTTATGCATGGCTAGGCATTGTTCTACTGGCTTAGAATATAATGTATCCGTGAATAAAATATAAACATCTGAGCCCTCAGGGAATTTATACCTAAAAGAAGGAAGGCAGACAATGAAAATATACAACATGGAGGAGAGCCTCAAACTGAAGCCCGGAACTCAAGTGAGCTACAGTGATAAAGGGAGAGACTGAGATGGAGACCTCTTCACGTTTCCCTCCATGTCCAACCTTCAGCTCACCCATAAGCAGTACTGGGCGATTAGAAGGCACTTCCGGTTAGACCCCAACCCGACGGAGAAGACTCTGGAGGCCTTGGCTGATGCGCTCAACCTGAAAAAGAAACACGTCAAGGCCTGGTTCCACATGATGCAGAATCAGAGGGTGCGCTACTTGCTTTCTAAGATCTACAGGCAGCAGAGAATGTTATGTCGCCAGTATGTATCAAGAGCGACCAGGCAGACGAACCCCGAGGAGTCTTCTCAAAATGACCCTGGACTCCCAGAAGCTTTGGAAGCCTTGAAGAATCTCACACTCTCTGGATTCCAAAGCACAGTTGGCCCGTCACAGGATTGCTGACTTCAACTTCCTTGTTGGGGCAGGGGACGTTGGGATTTATGTCTATGGAAGGTGTATTAATAATAAAGTTTGCATTTATAGAAACTAAAACAACAACAACAACAACAACAAAAAGAAAATATACAACATGGAGACCAACAGCACAACGAACAGTAATAAGTGCCATAGAAAAGGGGAAGAGAACAGTTTTTACAAGGATTTCTGGATCTTGGGGAAGGGGTAGCCAGGAGCTTATAGTTTATCTGGCGTGGCCAATGTTGAGCTCAGGAAGAAACAAAGTCTAAGCAATTACTGGGAGGGAAGAGAGTCCGCCAAGCTGTCTCGGGCAGGGAGAGTGGGTTAGAGTGGAAAAAATTATTTCCAGAGCAGAGATCTTAAATGTGATGAATATGGAAAACAGAAAGTAGTAAGAACTGAAGGAGTGATATAAATGAGATCAGAAGGGGGCCAGTGGGTACCCAAGCCCCAGGGAGGCCCCACATGGGAGCCATGGGAGAGTCTGAGAGACAGTGCCTGGTCTGGCTGTCGTTTATAAAGACAGCCCTGCTTTTATGTAGAGGGTGGATAATCAAGGAGCCGGGATAACAGCGATCACACATTTTAGGTAGCATTTAAGTGATACACGCAGGAGGTGTAAGTGAACTTTCCTCTTCATATATATGACACAGACACTTTTGGGTTCATTCATCTTTTTTTCTACTGTCCCTCCATATCACAAGGGGCAATATTGGAAAGACACGTATCTGTTCACATTTTTTGTAGTATAGAACAGTGAGAGAAAGGGAACTTGACATGAGCTGGAGGAAGTTGGGGTGTTGACCCAGGAAGCAGGGTTCCTAGAGATTAAACAAGGGGGTGTTTCAGGGAGCCTGAATTGGGAGTCTTTATACATAGAGTGTGAGCATGCTTCTGTTACAGGATATTTTATTTATGTTGTATGCTGTCCAGAACCGTTTTCTTCCAAACGTACCCAAGACCTACTTCATTAGAGTTGTTTGGCACCTCTGCTCCAATGTTACCCTTCAGAAAGATGGAAGCTTCCTTTACTGGCTAAAATAGCTACTTTCTTTACTCTAACCTTTTGTCTTAGGGTTTCATAGCTGTGAAGAGACAACATGACCAAGGCAACTCTTATAAAGGAAAGCATCTCATTGCAGCTGGCTTAGAGTTTCAGAGATTCAGTCCGTTATCATCATGATGGGAAGCATGTAGGCAGACAAGCTGAGAGTCCCACATCTTGATCTGCAGGCAGCAGAAGGAGACTATAATTCCACACTGAGAAGAGCTTAAGCATAGGAAACCTCAAAGCCCACTCCCACAATGACACACTTCCTCCAACAAGGCCACTTCTAATAGAGCCGCTCCCTATGGCCAAGCATTCAAACACACGAGTCTATGGGACCATCCCTATTCAAACCACCCAACTCTGTCTTGCTTTATGTTTTCTTTTGGCACAGAAATCAGCACCTAAAAACAAGTGTTTGTGGATGTATTTTCCATTGTCTTTCTGTCCTCTGGGGCTGTAATTTTTCTAACCTGTTTATTCACAGCCTAGAGCAGCACCTAGCACAAAATAATCACTCGGTTTTTATAACTGAATTAAAGTGGACATCTGAGCCGGGCAGTGGTGGGACATGCCTTTGATCCCAGCACTTGGGAGGCAGAGGCAGGTGGATTTCTGAGTTTGAGGCCAGCCTGGTCTACAGAGTGAGTTCCAAGACAGCTAGGGCTATACAGAGAAACCAAAAAAAAAAAAAAAAAAAAAAAAAACCAAAAACATATTTTTTTTTTTTTCATATTCCCAGGCCTTCCACCGCCCACCCCCCCATCCGTAATCTTCCTCTACCTTTCGGCTAGAAGTAAATGTATTTTATCCTATGTTGAATTCATGACAAAAAAAAAAAACATAGTAAGTATTTGAGAATCCCTGTTTTGATGTAGACACAAGTTACCTTATTGGATCTGGTTGGTATGAAAATTTAGAAGCTTCTGAGTGAAGAAGTCCCAGATGTCAGGCATTGATTCCTGCTTTCTCCTTTACTATTATTACTAGTAGTGGGAGTGGGAGTGTTTCATGTAACTCAGGAGTGCTGAGCTTATGCAACTGTGACAGTTTGGATAGGTTGCCTTGTCGCAGGAAGTGTGTCACTGTGGGGGTTCACTTTGAGACCTTCCTCCTAGGAGGAAGAGAGTCTTCTGTTTGCCTTCAGATGAAGATACAGAATGCTCAGCTCCTTCAGGACCACACCTGCCTGGACGCTGCCAGATTTAAGGATGTTGGTTCCCACTGCATCTCCCTTTAACTCTCCTATCTGGCCAGTGCAGAAGACAGATCATGGAGAATGTCAGTTCACTACTGAAAACTAAATCAAGTAGTAACTCTGCA